CGAGTTTTGACACAAAAGCAAGGACTTTGGCAAGCTAATTCTTCACTATCTGAAATACACTGTTGGTGTTGGTAAGGGTTTTGTCATAATAGGCAATGGGCATCTTATTTCTCTGAAATTACTTTTTTTTTGAATTTTTACATCAGAATTAAAACTACAATGTTTACTCCAGCTCTTGCATATCAAAATTCAGATTATTAAAATTAGAACCAAAGAATGTGCAGAAGTTCTGTAGCAACCTTTATTGCAGCTTTAGTGCAGCAGCTGCATAACCTGGAACTGCCCCAATTTGAATGAATTGCCAAAGCAGCAAAAAAGCAACAAAACAAAAGCAACCTCCAGCAGCATGGGGGCAGGGAGGGGAGAGAGAAGAACAACTCGGTGTCAGAGAAGCCAGCAACTGTTTTCTGCAACTGCAGGCTAAATTTCACTATCTGTGGTCCTCCAGATACAGACTATAAATGTGTTATTGTACTTGAAAGACTGGTGCAATTAGGTTTGATGTCTATATCAGGATATGAATTTTTCCACAGATTTTTTTTTTTGTTAAAACCAAAGTAGCTAGCCTCTATTTTAAAGGAAAATATTATAGCCAAAGTAGTTTTCACAGTCAGCCTTACTGCAACTCTTACTGACACTAGGTTTGTTTCTGCTATAAATAGTACTTATTTAACAACTAATACAAGCGTAAAGTATCAAATAAAAACACACTACTAAATGCTGCAAAGGCCGTAAAATCTCGCCCCCGCAATAATGCCCGGCCACCCACATCAGGCATCCAGGCTCTAGCAAAGCTGATTACCGACGGCAGCCACAAAGGGCAGTGGAGAAGGGGAATTTGACCCACGATTTTGACCCTGCTACAGCTGCTGCTCGGGAGCTCGTTCTGCACACCAGGCTGGCAGAAGCCACCCTCCGTGGGCAGAGCCCATCCACGAAACTCTCCTCGCCCGCTGCTGCGCGCGCCGCGAGGGGCAAAGGCCTGTCCACAAGCACGAGGCCGCTGCCCCTGCCTGCGCTCACTCTGTGTCTTTCTTCAATCCTGTTTTGGCCCCAAGCAGAGAATAAGATGCCAGAGGTGTGTGCACACGAGCTACGCACTGCGAGCCAGAGCAGGGTGGCTGCATTTGGGGCTCTGGGGGTTGAGCGCTAAACACAAGAGCACAGTGTGACTGTCAGATTTATATGCAAGACGGTGGCAGTATGTTTGGAGAGCCTTTGCAGGAAGATTTGTGCTTGTTGACATTATGAATTAGCTAACAACTTGGTCTTAAGGATGGGAGATACCAACCGTGGAAACCAAAAATTCTGGAAAACCTTCCGGACTGAACAAGAACTATAGGCCTTAAGGGGACAGAACCCTGAGGATGGGGGAAAGGCCCAGGAGACAGACAACTGCCTGAGGCATTTTTGTTGTTGCTTGTTGATTCATTTCTCAGTCTTGTTTTTAGCCTGACTTAAAAAAAGGCAATTTCCGACATAAAGCAAAATTCTTTTCCTATTTTTGGTTCATATTAACAATGGTTCATCACGAGAAGGAAACAAAAGGCTCCGGTAATGTGACATTTTCTCCTCTTTAGGGGTACTTACAAGATGGCAGACCACACTAATGTGGCTTCCAGACATTTAATTATAGTATAGAAAAAGATAGCAAAGAAAAATACAAATGACACTCCACATGCCCTAGTGTAACTACAGCATTTTCCATGAGGTGTCAGCAGAAGTATCTGAACATACTGCTCAGGCCTTACAAGTGTTTCTCCTGGCTGCTAAGCAACTGCAGAGGAATAAGTTTCACATGTGAGATGTAAATAACCTTTCATGGTTTATCTTTGCATTTGCTCACTCCTCTACTTAAAGGGGCCGTACCACTCGCATCCTCTCCCTCCCTCCAACTTCGCAGGCACTGCTGGAATTCTGAGCTCCTTTCCCTCATTGCCTCCCTCCCCTGATAGAGCTTTTTCAAAACGTAACTGAGCTTGAATTATGCCAGGTTCAGTTTTCTGTCCCCTGTAATCCGGAAAAATAATTCGTGTCCCACATGTCTTTCATGTTGAATATTCACATAATTAAGAGTACTCAAATTTATCAGAGGTCTCCTAGGACAGCTGGGTATTTAAGACTGAACTCTTATCTCATGAGAATGGAAAAGGATAAAGGATATATCACAGAGTAAGCACATACTGCGGTGCAAAAGGACATTAATGCTTTTAAGGAGATAATTCGCCACCACAATACATCTCCAACCTCCCCTTTCTCCTAAGTATATTACATATCCTGCCTTTAAGACAGCAAACCCCACCTTTCCTTTACTATGTATAAGGACCACAAGACACATTACCAGTATAAAATGAGTCTTTTCAGGGCTGATACATGAACAGAAACAACTGTCCTTCAGCAATACAGAGGATAAGCATTTTCATCCTAACATTCAGCACTGGCTAAAACTCTGCCAGATCCCTGGCAGTCACAAGAATGATTTACACTAATCATACACTATACATATCAAAGACCTGATTCTTCAACTCCTGTTTTTTTAAAAACTCAAGGAGTTCTATTTGAAGCCAGAGAACAACTTAAATGAAAAAAAAACACAGAATGAGACCCTTTGATACGCTATACTTTCAGTTTGCAGTAAAAAGCTTAAAGTGTTGAATCTTAAGTATGTCACATTAATTTCCCAAACAGTGCAGTTATTAGCAAAAGCGCAATGTGAGAGTAGTTTGAACACAATGAGAGGTGCTCACTGGCATCCAGCTGATGGTCAGTCGCACAGTTTAGCATAGCAAACAGCATATTAAGATTTCCACGTTAGCATTAAAAGAGCTACTAGAGGACAGCTTTCCTTCGGTTATTCTCATTCCTCAAAAGCAAGATGCTCTTACCTCTGCTTTGTACCATGAAGGTCAGACTCTATCTGTATGTAATACAGTTATTCTCAGTAAATTAATCAGTCTGAAGTTTTAAATTCCCTGAGACAAGAACACTGAATCAAATCAGCCTTCTGGGTAACTTGCTTAGTTTGAGAGGTACTGCTAGTATAAACTGCCATAAAACGTATGCTTAACATATGTACACAATGATGAATATGAGTTCATTAAATAACTGCATTTTTTGGAATGAAATCAGTGAGGCCAGGTATTCAAATACTAGGCAATGTCAGAACTAAGACTGTGCATATATGCCTTAAGAAAATAATCCTACCCCAACAGCTTTCTTAGTATGTACCTGAGCACGCAATAACAAACACAAGAAAACATTCCCCTTTCTCTCTCAAACCTTTGCCCTAATACACATATTGAATGAAACAAAATATTTTTAAAATATACAACATGAGATTAGGTAGCTAACTGAAAAATGTGTGGAAAATTTTCAGAGACACGTAGGTGAAGTTTGACATCTTCAGCCTCTGTTAGAACTCAAGGCTATTCCAGTATCTGGCTCATTAATGCTCTACAGCACGCAAACAACGAAAACCTCCGTTTTGGCACTCCCTAAATTTAGAAGAAATTATTCACAAATCTACAGCACTAAAATTCTGTCATGTATAAATTTAGAGGTTTTATAAGGTAGAAGTGGGAATTAAAAAAATAAGCCAGAAATGGCATTTCTTGCAAACATATGCATCTCTGTACAAGGACCTAGTAGCTTGAAATCAAGGACCTCACTTGTTATTTAAAATAAACAACATCCTCTGTTAACATTAACAAATGTATTTTAATATTTAATTTACTTTAAAGGAATGCACCTTGCCCGTAAGTTCAAGTTACCTGCTAGTCAGCTGAGACAAATGGAAGTTATGACTGCAATGCAATGAGCACAATACAGGCCCTGGAGATGGCACGACCAAGAACCTCCATTTAACAGGGCAAACATGTGACAAGTGAAAGAGGCTGCAGATGAACTGGGGAGATTTCTCCGAAGGGGGACTTGCAAATATGCATGAATTGTGCCTGATGCGTCTGGGAGTAGGCCTAGGCTGTTGCTCAGGAGCTGCTGAGCATGCAACATTGATACGATTCAGTGGAAGATCAGAGCTCATTTTAAACTCCTTCCCGTAGGCTATACAAGCCAGAAACAGCTAGTACTAGAAGCCCCCCTAGAAGATAAGCTCGACTTGCAATGAAATCCAATGCTGTGTTGGAGCTGAAGAAAGTCTGGAAGGCTTATTGGTAAAGGGCCAACCATGGCTGTGAAGCAGCAGCCCTCAACTGAACTATGTCAATCCTTTGCAGGGACCATTTTTGGAACCATTTGTCAGGTATTAAGAGTGTCTGCTATTTCCTTCCTTTATTTTAAGCAAGGAAAGAAGAAGGCACGTCTCATTTCTGTGACAAATTTCAAGTTTCATTTCAGGATGTAGACTCACTTGAATATTAAAATCTAAAATACTAATGATTTTCTTTCTACTAGCCTCAAACTATTTTTATTTCAAGAGAACTAAGATAAAGTTAAAGCATGAAAAATATAGGTTGCATTTAAATTTATTTTGAAAATAGACAGAGTGATGTACAGCTGACTACAGAAGACTCATGGTAATTCCTTAAACATTTAACTCAGCATCTCATTCAGCTGGCCAGTAGGAACCCAGATAACAGACTGGTAGTTCCCTGTGCATTCTTTTCTAAAGTTTAAAATACAATCCCAGAGGCTTGTTTTATTTTCCTGATGACAGTGTAAAGCAGAAGTGTAAATCATTGAGCAGTGCAAATGAGTAATGATCATACAAAAATCTGACCAGCCCTATGTGTAAGCAGAACTCCCAGGCAAAAGCTCAGCTTTATTCAGCTCAGCATAAAGAAGACTTTAAAACTACAAATGCTTTTTTTTTTAAGAGAATTCAGGGACATGAAAGGCAATAGGTAACATAAGAATATGCTTTTTTGTATGACAAAAAAATCTTGCTTTCATAGATATTAATCATTCTAAAATAGAGCCACTTCATATACAAGCTGAAAAAAGCCCTAAATTTTTAAATAAAACTGTTGCAACATACTCACCTGCATTAGAGCCTGTCAAGTTGTAACGTGCGTTTAGCTTTTTTATGATGTTTTCATGGATCTGATACCAGTCACTCTCTGTGTTGCACCTACAAAAATGAGAGTATTCTTAAATCTGAAACATGGCTTGCTTCATCACATCTCTAAATAAATCCTCTTCTGTTCAAACTAATAACAATATGGGAGGCAATAAAGTGCCATCAAACTGCCTGTCTTGATGCAAAGGCCTAGTAATGAGAGTGCTCTTAACAGGAAAGAAGTACATGATGGGAAGACCTGTTCTGTGTAGAAAGAGCAGGAGAAGGATATGAAGAGTTTTGCTCAGTAGCTCAACTGTGACCAAGTTCATTGTATGTACAGATCTCTCCTTCCGCTCTAAAACATACAGAAATCTGTCTTGTGACACTCAGGAAGAAACACGGGACTCTTACAGAGCTGGTCTTAACAGGCAGAAGGAAAACCCTGCACTCTACACTTTGCAGGTATTTAAAATAGAATGTGTTCTTCAGAAGGTCGTGCTTACAGAGCAAATTACATTTCAGTGTCCACTTGAAAACTGCCTGCTTTTCCTCAAGGAAAAGTGTTGTTACTTGATCATATTCTAATGAACACTTTTCATGACTTAGACTGGAGCTAGTCTTAGCATCAATTTGTCTTTGATCCATGTTTCCCCTTCCAGACCTTTTGTTGCTCTAAAAACAAACAAGCAAATTTTAACACACAGAACAATCAGACTGTTGGTTAAGCAATATTCAACACAGATATTTGACTTATTTGACTTGAACATCCTGAGAGTCTAACTACGAGCCAGCCCACATGGCCACTCTCACACTAAATTGTTTTCCAGTAGCACTGATTCCAGCAGCTCTGGTTTATCACAGAGGGGAAGAGAGGAGAGGAGACAGCACCCTGACACCTCCATGCTCTCAAGATTTGAATGCTAAGCCCTGAGTGGGGCACAGCCTCCAAACGGAGTCCCTTGTTTAGGCATTTCAAACAGACCGCTCCA